AGTTCCTTTGGCTTCTGGAGTTTTGTGGTCTAGTTATAGCAGATGTACAAAGTTCTTTGGATGCATTCAGTTTTATCCTGAATCACTGTCTCTTGGCCACTTTCCCCTGTTCTGCATGTATGTTTTATCAAGCTTCATCTCATGCCTTTCTAGAAACCTTTGCCAATCAAGCTTGGGAGCTTGTGTGCATAAAGTTCTTATTAAAGAGTATTCAGAACTGGGCCTGGTTGCTTATGCCCAGTTCTAAGACAGGAAATCCTCCTGGTTTGACGCCAGCCTGGGCTACAGAATGAGATCCCAATCTTAAAATGATTTCTCAGACCTGATATTCATCAGAATCTTCTAAAAATGATCGCCGTTTTAGACTATGTGCTGAGTTACTACATGCAGGGTCTTTGATTATTATTGAACATAAATAGATGTGAGAAGTTGTATGTAGTATCCATGTTATACCAGGATCCTCTTTTAATAGAGTAGTAGGAACTAAGCACATATGTACTAAATATCTTTTTATAAGGAGACCAACTTCATATATGAAAATTACCTGTTATTTTTAAAACTTGGAAAGGTAACACACACATGTAATCCTGGCACGTTCAACATAGGGAAGAGGATCTGTAATTCAAGGCCAGTCTCATAGCAAGTTTGAAGCCAGCCTGGGCTATATGAGACCCTGTCTCAAAAAGAAAAAAAATTGTTTTGGAATTATCCTCACTCTGCATAAATGTCCCTATTACTTACTTTTTTTTTTTAGTAAACAAATATGCTTTAAAGAAATACTAAAAACCCACACTATTTTATAATTAAAATTTAGACAAAAATGGTTAATTTTGTTTCACTTAGTTTTTTCCCAGATTTAATTTTTTTTTAAATTAAAAGATTTTCAGTTGTAGTAAAATGTAAACAACATGAAATGTATCATTTTAACGACTTCTATATCCAGCTCAGTGGTATTATATATACTCACAGTGGTTTGCAGCCATTACCGCTGCCCATCAGGAACTTTTTAGACTGAACAGTACTGAACATCTGCCCAGTCCTCCTTCCTCCAGCCCCTGGCAGCTAACAGTGTCCTTTGTGTCAGTAGGAAATGATGTATGCTCTAGGTGGCCCATGAGAGTACACGGTCTTTGTGACCTGCACATTTCACTCAGTCATGTCCTTAGGCTTCGTCATCCACTGAAGCATCAGTATTTCTTGGATTTTAAGACTAATGCTATAGCCAATGTATGTGTCACATTTTGTGTCACATATCCTGTATGTATATGTTTCTTTTTTTAGTAATATTTGTGTGTGTGTGTGTGCATGCATGTTCTTGCATGCATGTGTGTTTATCTGTGTGTGTATGTGTACATGTGGGTCCATGTGTGCAGAGGCCAGAGACATTAGGTGTCTGGTTCTGCTGTTCTTTACCTTGTTCTGTTGCAATGTGGCTGAAGCTCACATTAAGCTGCTGACCAGCAAGCTCCAGGATCTTCCTGTCTCTGTCCTCCATAGCACTAAAGTCACAGCTGTATGTAGTCATACCTATTTTTTAATTTTAACTTTATTTAATTTTATGTACATTGGTGATTTGACTGCATGTAAGCCTGTGTGAGGGTATGGGGTCCCCTGGAACAGGAGTTACAGACAGTTGTGAGCTTCCATGAGGATGCTGGGATTTGAACTCAGGACCTCTGGAAGAAAAGTCAGTACTCTTAACTGCTGAGCCATCTCTCTAGCCCCACCATCCCTGATTTTTTATATAGGTGCTAGGAATTTGAACTCGAGTTCAAACCATGGTCCCCAATAGCGTTCCATTGCGTGTATGTGTCAGGGCACATGGACAGATGTTTGGATGTTTAGGTTATATTTAGATTTTCAGTACGTGAGGTTAACACTTATGCTCAGTTACTCACTAGGGCAAGTTCTAGAGTGAATTTCAGAGAATGTTTATGTTTTATATTTTGATAAACATTACCAAGTTTCCTTCCCAAGTACCCATTTTCAATCCCTCCTATTGTAAATGAGAGTGTAATGTCTCAGGACACATGCCCATTTTAGTTCTTCAAAATCTTTTTGCTCTTTGTACAGTTGAACAGGAAAAGTAACTTGATTTCATCTTTGTTCTGAACATCTGTTTTAGAAATCAAATATACCTTCAGGTGATGCTTAGCTGTTCTTAAGAGATTTTAAAAAACTGTCATGGTTCTGAAAAGCAGTATTGGCATAAGTTGACAGTGTCCCAAGGTGTCAGATTTGAAGGGCACATTGGTGAGAAGCTCTCTTTTCTATGTTAAGGAAATGTGATCCCTTCTCTCTAACTACAAACCTGACATGCTCAAAGGGCTTATCTTGACAGCAGAGTTGGATAGTCATTGGAAGTTGGAAAGTGACATGTATTGAATGTCCTGCTTGGTGTAGCATCTTGTTGCTGGTGGGATGTGGTGCTAAGACCCTTGTCCTTATGGAGACGCAGGCACACTGCATAGGATCCCAGAAATGACACCCCCAATAACATGTTTCCTAGGGAAGTCCTGAGGAAGTTCCCTCAGCTGGTATGGATCAGTTCACACATTCATCAGGGTATGGAGTCATACTGTCTAATAGACTGCCTGCCGGTACTAGGGTGTGTTGAGTTCTCTCTAATAAAGGATGAAGTTGGGGAGCTAGTGTGCCTCCTCAGAGGTGCCTAACCCATCCCTCTGATGTTTGTAAGCTGCACTGGAGCAGATTCACTTCACTAGAAAAGAGTTTTCTTGTTGTTAGAATATTGTTATATTTTTTATTTTTATTTTATTTTATTTATTTTTTTTGAGAGAACTTCAGTGTACTTTTTCTTTGCTCTTTGGGTTTTGGTCCCAGAACACTCAGTAAACATTTTTTTTTGGGAAAGCTAAATAGGGTGAAGGTGAAAGGCACAGCCCTCTTGCCAGCAGCTAGCTGCCTTTCTTTCATGGAGGGAAGACTGCCACAGAAGAGCTTGCAGGTGGCCATCTGTGACTTGATAGATCAGTCTCTTTACAAGTGATTCCATGCTTCATGCTTCCTCCATGGTTATAGAAAAGGCTTCATTTTTACAAGTGGAATTTAAATGCTCACTTTAAATTTTATAATTATTTCATTGATACATTGACATTTTAAGATTTCAGAGATCAGTTATTTCAAAGATGTGTGACACTTATTGCATGGTATTGGAGGCATAGGAGATATGCATAAAGTTTTGTTCAGGCATGTGGTACTTAGCTTTGCATTTCTCATTAGCCTCTGAGAGAGTTGTTCATGAACCAGATATGAAGAAAAGAGAGCAAATATTAATGTGATTATCTTGATTAGCAATGTACTTCAATTAAAGTTGCTTTTAATATCAGTATCTTTTAAGATCTACTAGATCAGCAGTTTTCAAACTTGGAGTCATGACTCCTTTGGGAAACCTCTGTTTCCAAAAATATTTACAATTACGATTCATAACAGTAGCAAAATTACAGTTATGAAGTAGCAACAAAAATAATTTTATGGTTGGGGAGGTCACCACAACATGAGGTGTATTACTGTATTAAAGGGTTGTAGTGTTAGGAAGGTCAAGAACCACTTTACTACTTAAAAAAAAAAAAGAACCGCTGTACTAGATAATATCAGCAGAATGATGTGTTACCAGGCAAAATTTAAAAAAAAAAGTCAATTAGCTATCATGATTTATATCATTAGATTTTCTCTTTCTAGAAGAAACAAATGACAAGAGTCTTTCATCTTTTATCCCTCTCTTTTCTTTTTCCTTATCTTTCTACTGGGAATCAAACCCAGGGCCTTGTACATGCTAGGCAAGTAACCTACTATATCCTCAACCCCAATGGTAGGTATTTGTGTACAAATGTGTGTGTGTGTGTGTGTGTGTGTGTGTGTTCAGGTGCATATACCCATGTGTATGAGGCCAGATTAGGACACTATTCTGCTGTATAACTCTCTGCCTTATTCCCTTGAAATAGGGACTTACTGCATCTGGAGCTAGGCTAACAGCTGGCAAGCCCCAGTTGTCCTCTTGTGTCTGTCTACCATAGCCCTGAGGTTATAGGCAGTGCTTTTTCTGTGCCCAGATTTTAAGATTTATTTAATTTTATGTTTATGAGTGTTTTGCCTGCATATATGTATGTACATCAGGTTTGTGATTGGTGCCTATAGAGGTCAGGAAGTATCAGAGCCCGTTGAATTGTAGTCACAGATGTTTGTAAATCACATAGGTGTTGAGAATCACACCCAGATCTTCTAGAAGAGCAGCCAGAGCTCTTCTCCAGCTCCCAACACTTGCATTTTTATCTGGGCTCTAGATATTTAAAACTAGTTTGGTCTCTAGGTTCTACTTCCTAGCCACAATTCGCATTATTTTCTGTTGAATATTTCCAGCCAACTTAGAGAGTTCCATCTAGTCCTTGGAATAAACATCATTGCATGTAGTTTTAATAGGATCAAGGAAGCAGTTCTTATAATTGTGTTTCTAAAATAAGAAATTAATCTTGTGGCAAGGCAATTATGATTAGTGCATTTTATTTTAAAAAACATAATATTGTCTTAAATCAAAAGAAAGAAAAATGTTTATTAAGCATAGTTACTTTGATGATAAACTTTTATAAAATCCCCAGCCACTCAGAAAGCTTCTGGTCCCTTTAAACTGACAGCCATGGCTGAAAACTACCTGGCAGTACCTGGCAGACCCCCATCTCCCCACAGCATCATGAGCGGGTACATGGATTAGAGGAAGAGGGAAGGAAAACATCTGTTCCCATAGTGCTTCCTTGCTTTGAATGGCCCCGCTAAGTGTTGCTATGATTTGTTTGCAAGAGAGCCACAGGCCCTAGTGCTTGTAAGGATTTCCTTTCTGTTTAGATTTAATTGTTCAAGCTCCTGGGTACAGAGATAATGTTGGTTTTCAAGGTAGAATTTTACCACGTTGAGTTTGTTTGAAAAAATGATTCAGCCATTTTCTGCCTGATTCTTAAATATTGCTGTGTGCATCATGTTTCTAGGTAGGTGAGCCTGTGAAACAGTATGAAGAGGAGAAAGTAGCCTTTTAAAGAGACTGGCCCACAGAAAGGATGGCCTTCTTGGACAATCCAACTATCATTCTAGCTCATATTCGACAGTCACACGTGACCAGTGATGACACGGGAATGTGTGAGATGGTTCTCATTGATCATGACGTTGACCTAGAGAAGACTCATCCTCCGTCAGTGCCTGGAGACAGTGGGTCAGAAGTTCAGGGAAGCAGTGGTGAGACGCAGGGCTACATATACGCCCAGTCTGTTGATATTACCTCGAGCTGGGACTTTGGTATTAGAAGACGCTCAAACACAGGTAAACTCTGTCTTCTAGTTGTGTCTTTGTAGCTTCAGATCAGTAGTCAGCCAAGAGATCGTGGGCAATGTTGGAGCAGGTTCACTGGGGGGTCTCTGTGTCTAATTGAAGACTGTGGCTGAGCATCTCCTGTGTGAGTGAGTGGAAGAGCCTCTGGTATGGGGCTGTCGGAAGTAGACAGGAGAGCTGTGTGTAGGTGGAGTTACCTCTACAAAAGGAAGTAGGCCTGTTTTGAGACCTTAGTGCCACCAAGTTTCAAGTCAGGTTCCTGGAGGAAGGTTCCAGGGTGACAAAGAACTCTAAGTATGGGAACAGGCTAGCCCAGGAGTGTAAGTCATCAAAGTCAATACAAGAGCAGGCTAGCCCAAGAGTGCAGGCCACCAAAGTCCTAGTTCCTAGAGGAACAATGGAATGTGGGCCAAGACGGGATTTAATAGGAATTTGTGTACTGGCTGAAAGAGGAACAGAAATGTCCCTATTTTCGTACTTTTCTTTTCTTAGGTTGATCACTAACCTTTAATCTGAGAGGTTTGTAGATGCTCAACTTTGGCATATCTATTTAGCCCTTAACTGTTAGAAGCTTACCATTGTCCATTTTACAGCTGACAGTGCTTTTGTTATCTTTCAAGGAGAATGCAGTGTGCCAGTGCTTTTATTGAGAGAGACAGAGAGATGGGGAACGGAGGAAGAATACATACATACATGCATATATATTAGTGACAGGGTATTTTAGGGATCATTTTTAGAGCATTTTAAAATAAAATCAGCATCAGTAGCAGTAAACTCTTAATCCTAAGAAAAGGGAGTGGCAAGAAATTGAACAACATTGAAAATGTTTATTTTCGTGGTGCAAATATAAAGTGTAACATGGGAATCGGTGACAAAGCTGGGTACACCTCACAGTGAAAGACAACATCGATGTTAGATTCAGAATGTCGCGCCTGTGTCGTCAATAAAAGTAGTTTGCCCTTATGATAAAAATAACTAATATCACTTCCCAGCATCTAGAGGGACTTTTATCAAAATAGGGTTTGAGTACAGGTTTGTCTATAATTTAGAGCCATTGATACTTAGTGCTATAGTTGGAGCGTCCTCGCAAGTCAGTGTGACTGTATTGTCTGTGACAGGCTGTATAGATTTCACCAAGATTATGCTGCCCAGTGATAGCTTTATGATATTACTGTGGCTATACTTTCCATAGTTATTAATTACAGTGTAATGTGTTTTTCCTCAGTGGATTTCATTAGATAAAGTGACATCAGAATGCTTTTGCAAGGCAGGGTGGCCATGGTGACGCACAACTCTACTCCCAGCACTTGGGAGGCAGAAGCAGGCAGATCTCTTCTGAGTTTGAGGTCAGCTTGGTCTCTAGAGCTAGTTTCAGGACAGTCAGGGCTACACAGAGAAACTTTTGTTTTGGAAAAAAAAATCAAACAAACAAACAAACAAAGAATGCTTTTGCCAGCGTAGTTTAAATTTCTGGCAAGATTATTTCCAGTGTTCTTCTACAGTAGTGCTAAGGAAGGAGTGGTATGGTTTCCCACCTTGAAAGTGGTTGTAAAGAAAATTTATTTTCTTCCCTCTCTGCTAAAAATAACTAATATCACTTCCCAATCGGGGCGGGGGGGGGGGGGCGGG